TATATATATATATATAAAAGAGGACATGTATATACATACTATTATTTTTATGTATCAATCTCTACTTTCATATTTATATATTTATCATTTAAATTTTTATTATCATATCAAAAATATTATTATTATAACTTCTTAAAAATTAATTTTTTTTTTCACACAAAAAATTTATAACACCAAAGGTTATATATGTAAATATCAAAATTTAGGAAAAAAGGCACATAAATATATAAAAATTTTGTCATATATTTTTCTAAAGCAAAAAATATAACAATTAAGTGGAATATTTACATATATAACGCTCAATTCCTATGTATTTACATATCAACACTTAAACTTTAGTATATATTTACAAACACATAGAATTTAAGGGTATATATGTAAATATTTCAAATTTATAGAAGAAAAAGGGAAAATGGTTTTCGTCCTCCCTGGCTTGAGGGAAAGCTCAACCAACCCTTGCCCCAAAATGATCTCTCGCAAGAACAGAACCCAAAATCTCTGGACAGGATTCACAGCAGCGCAAAATTCGGAACTTTACCCCGCGTCTTCCACTCTAAATCGTCCAAACAAAATCCTCCCATGGAGAAAGGAGATCTCGAAGGGCATTCCCATCTCCTTCGAGCCTCTCCTCTCCTCTCTCCCTTCCCTCCTGCATCGCTTCCTGAACCCCAATGGCTTGCGCCGCCCGACGCGTCGGGCTCCTCCTCCCCCTCTTCGCCGCCTTCGTCGCGGCCTCCGCACGCAACAGTTTGATTGCGAACAAAGGAGTGACTTATGACTCTCGCTCGCTCATCGTTAATGGAAAGAGGGAGCTTTTGTTCTCCGGTTCTATTCATTATCCTCGAAGCACGCCGGATGTAAACCCTAGCATTTTGTTTATGTATTTGTTATTCATTTTGGAGATTTGTGTATTAGGGAATGATTTATAGTTATGGTTTCTGGATCTTTGGTTTGAATGATCAGATGTGGCCTCGTCTTATTGCCAGTGCGAAGAAGGGCGGGATCAATCTGATTCAGACTTATGTTTTTTGGAATGGTCATGAACCTATTCAGGGACAGGTAAGATCTTGCGGGGGAAAAAAATAAGGGTTTGGATATTCTGATTTGAATTTGATCAAGATGAGTTTTTGAGGCGTTGTATTTGCTTTGAAATGAATTTGAAATGAGAGTTGATTGATTTTTCATACATCTTACCAATTTTAAAGCGTTTTCTATTTTCATTTGCAGTATAATTTTGAGGGGAGGTATGACTTGGTGAAATTCATCAAGTTGATTCAGAAGGAGAATTTGTATGTCACACTTAGAATTGGACCTTTCATTCAGGCAGAATGGAATCATGGGTATTGATTTTATGAAATTTGGTAACATCGTAATTGCTTGTTGTTTCGTGCTGGAAAAGTTGCTGCGGATGAGTGAGGGTTTTAAGTTCTTTTGATGCTACTGTCAAGTTGCTCCCTCTCAGTTTTGAATGGCTTTTTTTTAGAATTGATGATCTTATGGATGACAGAAGGACTATCCCACTACGACAGTGCACATGAAGTTAATATGAACTACCTTTTGAGGTTACAGTATAATCAGTTGGCTTCTAGCTTCTAATTGTTTTTCATAGGCAACGCGTGTTGAATCATAATTTGTTCGTGAATCATACCCCAAGAAAGAAATAGAGCATAAGAAATGAGAGAGAGATGGAAAGAAAGAGACAGAGAGAAGAGTGAACTGTTGATGACCAGTCGTGTTGATATTTTTTGAAGTTTGTGGCTAAAACCAGGTGTATCTGCTCCATTATACATGAAATGATATTCCTATTTATAGGAGAGAGAGTACAATATAGTAATATTGCATTTTTGTCTTTGCTTTAATGAAGGTTGTACATGGTATTCTAGATATTTTACATATATGAGTCTATTGCTCGGCTACCCTTTGGCTCGTTCGACCGAGTTTGTCTGGCTTAAGCTCGGCTGGACTTAGCCGGTGTTGTCAGTCGTCTGAGATTAATTGGCTTCAGGTGGACACGAGTGACTCGGTTATCTGAATTAGTTTAGCTTTCGAACCTTGATGATAGATGAAGGAGCTTTCGGGCACTCTTGGTTGATTGGAGGTGTCGAGGTGTTAGATATTCTCTTGAGCTGACTTCTTCATGTTGGTTGGTTTGGATGTCTCCTTGTCTCTTTTCTGATCGAATGACTCAAATTCGGGTCATTCGACTCTGTCGGCTTTGGCCATACTTGTCCTAGCTTAGACAGTTGCATCTGATCAGATTATTGGGTCTTCTGGTCTTCTATCATTGGGCCATCATTTGTCGTACCCTCCTTCTGGATCGTTAGCTTTCTTAGGATTAGCGCTGACACATTTTTTATGCACGACATGGAGCTATGACTTAAAACTCTCACTTTTATGTTGCGAATTTTCTAACATGCAACACTTGTATTGATCAAAGTTTTTATTTTTATGTCTTAATCATTGTCTTGGATGCATTTCAGTGGATTTCCATATTGGTTGAGGGAGGTAAAGAACATAACCTTCCGAACCAACAACCCTGCCTTCAAGGTGATCAACATAAGTATCAAACATGAATTATTTTTTTTCAAGGAAACCATTCTCGAACGGTTGGATTAACTTTAAATTTACATGCAGCATCATATGGAGAGGTTTGTGAAAAAAATTGTAAATATGATGAAGGAAGAGAAGCTCTTTGCTTCCCAGGGAGGTCCTATCATACTTGCTCAGGTTAATTTCATCCATAACTCTCATTAATTGGTCATTTACTCATTGAATTATAAACAAATAAGTTGTTAAAAATAGATTGAAAATGAATACAACATGGTTCAAGCGGCATTTAAGGAAGATGGCAAGAAGTATATACAGTGGACATCTGACCTCGCCTTGAGCCTTGGTATTGGAGTTCCATGGATGATGTGCAAGCAACAAGATGCTCCAGGACCCATAGTAAGTTATATTGATCTATTTACATACATGCCACCCAATTCTTATGTATTTATATATATGACACTCAAACTTTAATCATTGCATTTGTACCACCCAATTTTTTCGTATCACATTAAAAGTACCGCAATTTTAACTTTCAAAAGGTGAAATACAACTTTTTATGCACAGGGCAGGTGACATATAGGTAAAAATTAAAGTTTAAGTGTTTTTTTTTAATGCTTAGGCGGTGGATATGTAAAATACATAAGAATTTTGTGGTATTTATGTAAATGCCTCTTGTATTAAATATGCATTAGAATTTTGCTCTCTCCTTTTCTGTTGTAGATCAATGCCTGCAATGGAAGAAACTGTGGTGATACCTGGAAGGGACCTAACCATCCAACTAAGCCTCTTCTGTGGGCTGAGAACTGGAGTGCTCAGTAAGTAGAGATAGCTGTCATTTTGGTGTGTTCCTTCTGTAAATTGAGTTTTTTTCTTTGTGATGATCTCAAGGTACCGAGTTTTTGGCGACCCGCCGTCCCAAAGGTCAGCAGAAGATCTTGCATTTTCCGTTGCTCGCTTCTTCTCTAAGAATGGAACTCTTGCAAACTATTACATGGTAATTCGTCTAATCTACTTAGTTTATATTTGAATGAAGTTTGTAATTTGAATGTATGATAAAAGAGGAATTTTTATGTTTAGTACCATGGAGGAACAAACTTTGGAAGGACTGGTTCTGCTTTTGTCACGGCACGATATTATGATGAAGCACCTCTCGATGAATATGGTATTATAAACAACTAATGTTTTGATTAAGAGAAATTTGCATATATGTCACACAATCAAATTATATTTTACATATCTAACACCTAATGTTTAATATTTACAATCATACATACCACCTTGATGTCATAAACCTATGCATGAAAATATGTATTTAATTTTTAAAAAGTTAGTAATGTTGATGTATTTGATGTGATGTTAAAATTTTAGTGTTGTGCATATAAATATGAAAGTTTAGGTGTTAGATATTTAAATGCATAAGAATTGTGTGGTATGCATGTAAATACCCTTTTGATTAAAAGTCTACAATGGCATGAAAACGCTGAATTTGGTACTCCTTTCTTATAGGTTTGCAGAAAGAGCCTAAATGGGGGCACCTGAAAGACCTTCACCGAGCTCTGAAACTTAGCAGGAAACCTCTTCTTTGGGGTTCTTACAGTTTCAGAAAACTGGGTAAAAATGTTGAGGTAGAAATAGTATAGTTAGCTACATTTAATTCTTCTATTATGCAAATTTTTGGCTTTACTGGTTGTGTTCTGATGATTTTTTATCTTTCAAGAATACAGGCTAGAGTGTACGACCTTCCTAGCGACAAAGTGTGTGCAGCCTTCCTCACTAACAAGAAGGCTGACCGAGATGTCACCGTGAGCTTCCGCGGCACCAAATACTTCTTGCCTCGCCATTCTATTAGCATTCTTCCAGATTGCAAGACTGTGGTCTTCAATACTCAGAGGGTTGTAAACTGCTCAATTCATTTAGTGGCCATTTGGGATCACTATTGTTTTATATTTTCTCTATTTTTTTTGTTTATGTTTTGATTTGAAACAAAAGTGTTTGGCATTTTTTATTAATATATGATTGTTTTTAAAAACAAAATTGGCCCCAAACAAATCCTTAGTTTTGAAGTAAAGTTTGATGATATTGGGATGGATGATTGCTTACCTCTACTTTCGAATTTTATGATAGATTAATGCCCAACACAATTCAAGGACCTTCATTCCATTCATGGAGAGGAAGAAGAACAAAAGATGGGAGATGTACCAAGATCATATCCCCAGGTATCATGAGGATGGAATTGTTCGTAGCCCGGAGCCATTGGAGCTAATGAGCACGACCAAGGATACCACAGATTACCTTTGGTATACAACCAGGTCTGTCACCCAATCTATTTTTCACTAATTCAAAAAAATGATATAAAGCAAATAGATTTATGGTTTAGGAGATGTCTAGGAGAAAGAGTGGCTCTTAATAGATATATTTCTAAGAGGAAAGCCGTGTAGAATGAGCTAAATCTCACATTGAAAGTAGAGGAGAGAATATTAGGCTATGGAGTAAAGTGTCAAAACAGTCCTTTAACTATTTTTATTGAGGGTCCGTTTGGGGCAGCTTATTTGGTGTGGTGGCGTTTTGAAAACGCACCGGTCCTATTTGGGTAGACTGCGTTTTGAAAACTTATGCGTTTTCAAAACGCTGAAGACAGCTTCTTCACACCGCACCTATCTAGGTGCGATGACAGCTTTCTGACAGCAGTCTGGCTTTTCCCAAAAAAAAAAAAATTGTACTAGTCTTTGCACCTGGCTTATCAGCAAATTATTCAATAAGCTGCAGTTGCCCCAAACAAACCTTGAGTCATTTTAGCCAAGTGTCTTTAAGTGTCAAATTAGTCCTCATACTCTTTTAATTTGGTAAAAATTGTCCTTATTGGGACTATTTCAGTCCATATTTTAAAAATATAAAGACTAAATTGATATTTTTATAAATTTTGGGACTAAAACGGCCGCCCTATAAAGAGTAACCCCTACAAGGAGTCGAACATTCTGTCACTTTTTTCTCAGGCTGTATTAGTAAAGAATGATGTGTCTGTGCTCTAAATGAAGTACTCTTGGGCTGGGTGATCCCTTAGGAAATTTGCAGTAAAAAGACAAAACTGTGAGGTTCAATTTATTGTAAGATAGATTGGACTGATGTTTAGCGTGTTACACATAGAAATGCTTGAGCAAAAGATTCACTTTTTGTTTGCTTGTTGATCTCAGATTCAATGTGCAGCAAGAAGACTTGCCTTGGAGGAAAGATATTCGTCCTGTGCTGCAAATTGCAAGTCTTGGCCATGGAGTTCATGCATTTGTGAATGGAAAATACCTTGGTATACAACTCCATGGCATTTTAATTTAGGAAAATTTACATACATAGCACAAAATTCTTATGTATTTACATATCTCACTCCTAAACTTTCATATTTATACACATTGCACTCAAATGTTTAATACCACATAAAAAATAGTACTATTAGCACTTTTTAAAGTCACATAGATCTTTTCATGCATGGTTTTAAAGCACCAAAGTGCTACGTGTGTGCGAATGTGAAAGTTTAGGTGTGAGATATGTAAATACATAAGAATTGTGTACTGCGTATGTAAATTTCCCTTTTAATTTAGCTAAATATTTTCTTTCTACAGCTTTCCATTTCACTGTTTTATTGATGGATAAACTGAGTGCATATTTGATTCAGGGCATGCGCATGGCAGCAAGATTGAGAAGAGCTTTGTCTTCCAAAAATCAATGAAGCTGAAGTCTGGAACCAACCACATTACCATCTTGGCCATGACTGTTGGCTTCCCGGTAAGAGATTAAAATTCAAAATTTTTCACTTCTTAAAATTTTGGGACATTTACGTACGGACTAAATTTTTATATATTTACATATTTAACATCTACACTTTAATATTTACATTTATAGCACTCATATCTTTAACATCACATAGAAAGTGCAACTTTTACTAACTTTTTAAAAGTCAGATCACCTTTCTATGCATCGGTTTATAACTTCATGGTGTTATAAATTATTGAACTTTAGGCGTTGGATACGTAAATCCATAAGCATTGTGTGGTACGTGTGTAAATTTCCCTAAAATGTTTTCCCATAAAGGGGGGCTAACATCTTTTACTACACTGTGAAAAGGATAGTGGTCCTTACCTGGAACGCAGGGTTGCCGGAATTCACTCGGTCATCGTCCAAGGCCTTAACACAGGCACCCTGGATCTCACAGCCAATGGCTGGGGCCATCAGGTAAATATTTATTTTGTTGGCAATTCAGTTAAATTCTCTTACTCAAAAAGACTGATAAATTTGAGACTAAATAGGTCGGCTTAGTAGGAGAGAAGCTTCGGATCTACACAAATGATGGAGTCTCCAGAGTTCAATGGACCAAACCTGAGAGCAACATACCGATTACCTGGTACAAGGTAATAGTATTACAAACAAATCCAAGTAAAACATCATAATTAGAACTAAGGATGTAACTGAGCCAATTCGACTCGTGAGTTGGCTCGGGCTCGAATCGATTAGTAGCTCGTTAGCTGAGCTCGATGAGCTAAAAAGCCAAGCTCAAGCCAACCCAACTTTGCTCATCAGCTCACGGGCGAGCTCATTTAAAAGATTATTAATATAAAATATACTCAAATTATATTAATATTAAAGAATCTATCATTAAAGCATTAAAGATGTTCCAAAAAATGACATTTTAAATTTTATATCAAGTGATTCTTATTAATTATCTCCCAAATGGTTATTCTTTTTGTCACTTTATTATAATATTGACTTGAATTAACATTGTTTTTTTTTTTTTCATAATCAACAAACTGGCTCAAACTCTAGCATGATTTCAAAATCGAACTCGATGAATTAATCAAGCTTAACCTAAGTCGAGGTTCACTCGAGCTCCACTCGACTTGTTTACTCCAATAGAACAAATTGAGAACTCCCCTAACTAGAACAAATTGAGAGTTTAATAGAATCTTTCTAATTACCTTTCCTTGAACCACTGTGCTGCAGAGATACTTCGATGCACCCCCGGGTAATGATCCGGTTATTGTTGACATGAGCACCATGGCCAAAGGTTTCGTCTGGGTTAACGGCGAAGGCATTGGTCGATACTGGGTTTCATATCTCTCCCCACTCGGCACCCCAACTCAGACTGTGTAAGTGCTTATAGTAGGAAGATTTGTTTTTTGTGATCAAATTGCTTGATCTATGGATGGTTTGAAGTTTCAAATTTGTTGATTTGAAAATTTTTTTTTGCAGTTATCATATCCCTCGCTCCTTCTTGAAGCAAACGAAGAACCTTCTTGTTGTCTTGGAGGAATCTGGAGGCAACCCTGATGGAATTCAAATTTTGACCGTTAGGAGAGATGATATATGTACTTATGTGTCTGAGTACCACCCTGGAGTTATCAAACATTGGTCGAGGAAGGATGGTCAGCTCAGGTCGGTTGCCGAGGATGTTAAGCCGGAATCTCACCTTGAGTGTCCGGACAATAAGGTCATCAAATCAGTCATCTTCGCTAGTTTTGGCAATCCTAGCGGCGTTTGTGGAAACTACACCATTGGAAGCTGCCATGCTCCGCAGACGCGACATGTTGTTGAGAAGGTAGTGCATATCTTTTGCTATTATATTTTTGCTCTGCATCTTAAGTATTTTATAATTGTTAGGGTGTGGGTGTGTAAAAGTAACTGCAAAATTATTGCGATGAAAAAAAAATTTGATACTTGGTTGCGATTGTTAGACTTTTTTGAGAAGTTTAGACAACTGTTTTCTTATAACCTTCACATTTTAGAGATCTAATTATAAATAGTTCAATCTCATCATAGAATTTTTTGCAAAAATTAATAAGATATAGTTATATAGAAGTGCAGCACTTGCATGGAAAGCAAATTTATGAATAAATTACCTCAAAATGACTCTTAAACTTATAAAAATGCAAATCTCAATACAAAATTCCTACTAGTTCTATAAGGAATTCCTCATGAGTAATTCAATGTGATTGATTTTAAGTGATTGCGAATCTAAATTCGATTTGCTCCACAATTTCATATCCAGTTTTCGGTTCCAATATAAATTACGCATGCGTGAATTTACACGAAACTATGTACAGACTCTTTTTCAAGTTTACAATATAGTTCTCAACCTGTGAAAATATGAGAAAATATGTTTCAGATGTCTATCCCTTGCTTTCTGTTTGTTTAATGCTGGCTATGCTTTTACCTTGTATGATAATGATTAGGCCTGCTTGGGGAACGCTTCCTGTGTGCTTCCAGTGGAAGGCGAAGCTTATGGCGCAGATGCAAATTGCTCAGAAACCACAGCTACTCTTGCAGTTCAGGTCTTTTGTGGTCAGAAGTAGAGCTAAATATGAAATTTTGATTTCACATTTGTAGTAAAATTTGATTGATTTTTTTTTTTATTTTTTCAATGGGAATTGTAATAATTATGATGATAATTGGAACTGCTGGTCGAGTACTAACTGTAATCTTTGAGAAAATCTGACAAAAGCTGAACTTTTCTCTGAAGCATACATGGATGGCATGCCTTAATATTGTACTTGTATCAATTTTGCTCAATATAGTTGCTTTCTTCAATTTTGCTCAATATAGTTGCTTTCTTCAAAGCATCTTAAATGATGGGCATCATAAAATCATAAATGGAAGCCACCATAAAGTGCTAAATGTAGTCTAACATATGAAGGATAGAGTGAGGAAATGAAGAGAACAAATTCTCACAGCGGAGAAGAGATGAGAATGAGAACATTATTGCCTTTCTCCACGTTCAATCCATCCTTACAATATGTTGCTGTATTTTTATAGGCTATTAACACAGATAAAATGGTGTCTTTGTCTTCTATTCATATAAAGTTCAATCTATCATCATGTATTGTTTTTATTCATATATCATACAAAAGATGGCAATCAAGCTAACCACTAGAAGAAAAGCTGGCCCGATGCGAGAGGGTACCCTCTAGTAGAGCTGATTTATGGGAAGATCCAGTTACATAATACCTCTAACCATCCCGTGGATGACCTAGAGGTTTCTCATCATAGATTAAGAATTAATAGTGAAACAAAAAGTCTTGTAGATTTCTCGCAGGCCCTTCTCGTCGAGGGGTGAGCTGTATATCAGGTTACGGTGATTCACTCTTAGATCAGTAGCTTGGGGATGCTCTACTGATAAGAGCTCCTCACCAGGGATTGAAGATCGACATCCAGGTTAAATTAGTCGATTAACTCGTGCCGACTAAGCTCAGTCGACTAAGCTAGCCCCATTAACTCGAAGCCAGCTAGCCGATCGACCTTTTATGTTATATAATTTTTGTATATTTTATTTTTCATCTTTAAAAATATTTTATATTATATTTAAAAAAATAAAATTATAAAAATAAGTATATATTATTTTTTATTATATCAAGATTTAAGTCAACTTGATCCATCATTCATTAAAATACAAAAAAAAAAATGATCATTGGCTTTTTTTAACACTGAATTCTTATGTAATTACATATCTAGCACCTATATTTTGAATATTCTTTTATACCACCAAAATCTTTCATTTCACATCTAATATATCACTATTTTTAATTTTAAAAAATAAAATACAAATATACATATATATATATATGTTAGGCGGCATATATATATAAATTGAAATTTAAGTGTTAGAAGTAAATATCTAAAACTTGATTGATATGTCTTTAAATATATATATATAGACACACACACAGACGCGTGCGCTAGGGTGGCAAGTTAGTATGTAGCTGTGTTGTCAATCGTAAGATTCCTCTAACTCGGGTCCGGTCCAAGGTTTGCATATATGGGGAGTGGTATTATATGAGGTTAAATATATAAAAATAGTGATTTTAAATAATTTTATATAGATTATCCATTTTATCGATAATTATTTTTTATATCATTCCTCGTGCATGTGAGGCAAGCAATATACCTTCACATTTGCAAAATCAAATATTTAGCCTTGAAGAAACCCTCGCGAGCTCTCTCGCCGCCGGCGCTGCTATCGCCGGACGTCTCTATCTCGTGAAAATAAGTGGCAAGTTACCGCTGCACTTCGTTTTTATTCAGGTAACAAGTGATCGCTGTGCTATCAAAAAAGCAAAAAATCATTATTGAATGTAGCCTGAGTTTCTTTTTGTATTGCTTTCTTACTTGTATAGCCGGATTGCTTCTGTTGCAAAGTTAAGCTAATTCACTGTGGTTATGGTCTTGCTTTTGCCCTGATTTTTGTCTGTTTTCATTGATGCTACAAGAACAGAACAGGAGAAGGTGATAATTTAATTTTCATTTCACTATAATCAGTACATAGAGACATATATATAAGCTACGTGAGTGGCATACATGTATATAACCCATAAGGATAGTTTAGAAAATACATAAACAATAGCTTTAAAGCTTTACTAACATTGAACCCTAGTTTATCTGAGCAGAGAATCGCGTGAAGCTCTGGCTGAGGTAAACATCTGAGCGCTGATCTATTGCTTAAGAAGCATGGATTATCAGGTAAGTCATAATACCCCCTGTCAAGTTGAGCATCAAAAGGCTTGATGGTCAGCTTGTTGATTAGCTCGTGATGTTTCGTGGCATTTAGGGATTTAGTGAAGATGTCAACCGAATGATTTTGTGTCATTATATGTTGAAGCATGGTGTGTTGTTGCTTTATTTGATCCCATATGAAATGATAATCTATCTCGATGTGCTTTGTTCTTGCATGGAAGACAAGTTTATGAGCAAGTGCTATAACTGATGTACTATCCCTGTAAAGCTTGATTGGAGCTGAGGGAATCCCTGTAAGTTCTTGCAATAGCCTTTTTAGCCATAGTATTTCAGTTGTGGTGGATGCAAATGCATGATATTTTGCTTCAATTGAAGCGTGTAACTGTATTTTGCTTCTTTGAAGACATGAGATTAAGGTGGAGCCAAGATAGATGTAGGAGCATGTAGTTGATTTGCGATCGTTGTTGTAGCTCTCCCCGTCTGCATCGGCAATCAAGATGCAAAATAGATAACGATGATACCATCTTATATATTTTGAATGGCTTACCTCTCTTCTAAGGTTTCAAAACCACCATTCAAACCTAGATAACAGCTTTGCCTTTGGAAGATCTCTACTGACTTCTTCATAGTGAAGAGAGCAACCTTGTTAATGACTTTTTAAAATTCAATCAAGACACTACCTTTCTGTCTTACAAGAACAAATACTTCTACTCTAAATCAAGAAACCTTCCCAAGACTCAACAGAACACCAAACCCTCCACTTCTACAAACACCCAACTGAACAAAAATAAAAATACCATTGTCTGCCGGATTTGCCACAAGAAAAGGCACACAACAGACAATTGTTGGCATAGAACCAACTTGAATTACAAACCCAACTCCATTGCTACTCTCAACACCTCCATTAGCACCAAGCATGATTGGGTACTTGACACAGGCGCTACAACACACATTACTCCACACCTCGACAACACACATCAACCAGCTCCCTACAACCGATCATATCAAGTTATGGTAATGGTATCCTACTCACACCAGACCAGACCGTAAGCTCAAACTATTCTCCATTCTCAAAGTTCCGAACATCACTCACAAATTACTCTGCATTTGAATTTGTTAAAGATAATCAGTGCTCTTTTACTTTCAATCCTAATGGTTTTTTGATACATAATTTCTAAATAAATAAACCACTTCTTAGCGGTCGAATTAACAATGAGTTATATTTGCTTACTTTTTTCACGAGTACTACCAAATACATTATATGACACAGCAGGTTGGGACATCCACATCCCCAAATCATTCAGAACATAGCAAAATAGCCACCACACCTTAAAATTAGCACAAATATTTCACCATGCAATAATTGTCTTAGTATCAAATTTCACAAATTGTCATTTTCTTTTAGCACAAATCAATGTGCAATTTTTGAATTGCTTCATTCAGATGTATGTGGATTGTTTGCACAACCCTCTATTGATGGTTGTCCATATTACGTCACATTTATTATGACTATTCTCGCTACTGTTGGTGTTTTCCCAAGATAATAACCATCCATATTATGTATGTATAGTAAATAAAGAACTTTATGGTCTCAAACAAGCACCGTCAGTGGTACTCAACTTTTTGCATCTTCTTATACACTTAAAAATTCAAATAAGCACATCTGATCACTCATTGTTTATTTATTATTATGACAAAACCCACATTTATTTATTTATCTATGTTGATCATATTCTAATTATAGGAAACTCATCAACTGAAATAAACAACTTGATACAAAAGCTAGAAACCCAATTCAACCTAAAACAACTTGGCCATCTATCCCAATTTCTTGGTTTGCAAATAAACCAAACAGTCAAAGGTTATCTTTTACATCAAACGAAATATTTGTCTAATTTGCTAACAAAGCTGGAATGATGCAATCCAAATCAGTTTTAACACCATTACCTTCTCAACCTTTTAAATTCTCCACTCCTACTTCACCTCTCTCAAATCCACAATACTATAGACAACTGTTTGTAGCTTTACAATATCTTACTGTTACCAGACCCGATATCATATTCAGTATAAATTTTTTAAGCCAACGCATGCATGAGTCAAATAATGTTCATTTCAACTACTTAATAGATTATTACGTTGTCTCAAAGGCACACACACAACCACAAGCTACCCATTATCATTGGAGCACTCTCACTATCTGCATACACTGATGCAAATTGGGCGAGTGACAACTAAAATAGAAAATCCACTATAGATTATTGCATGTACCTCGGCTCCAACCTCATTTCGTGGTCCTGCAAGAAACAAAACACTGTGGCTTCCTCCTTAACAGAAGTAGAATTTCGCGCCCTTGCTACCACTACAACCGAAATCTTATGGCTCAAAAGATTGTTAGAAGAACTTACAAGGCTATCAACATCTTCCATGAACCTCTATAGCGACATTACTTTCGCAATCGCGCTCGCTCACAATCCTGTCTTCCATGCCAGAACAAAGCACAAAAAAGTCTTAAGGGATCAAATAAAGCTAAAACACATCATGCTACATCATATTATGATGCAAGATCAACCGGTTGACATTCTTACTAAAGCCCTAAATCCGAAAAGACATCACGAGCTTTTTACCAAGTTAACCGCCAAACCTCTCAATGCTTAACTTGATAGGGTGTATTGGAACTTATGTGATGCTTTGTGAAGATTCAACCAAAGATCTCCTTCCTAAAGTCATCCAAACTTCTCCAGTATCGCATCTATCTCGCTGCTTCATGTGTAGAAGAATTTAGAAGAAATGTTAGCATTAGGTCTCTATCATGCCACTTGTATGTATGTTGTCATATTTGCCCTTACAAGTTATTTACAAGTTTGTCATCATGTATAGCTTTTAAATTTACCCTGTAACAGAAACAGAAATAAGATTAGAAATTCATTCTCTTCTTGCAATCTACTTTGTATACTCAAACTCGTTTTGTTGCTGAAGCTGTTGATTTGTTGGCTTATTGTTAAATTTTGACAATATAAATGAGTCGACAATATAAATGAACTATGTTCCGTAGCTTGTTCCTTTTGTGAATTGAGTAATTCGAGCCAATGGAAGAGATATAAAATTATAGATTTAAATGTTATAGTTCTACTTTTAATGGATTATAGCTTTATTTTTTATTTGATATATTATGGTTATGTCTCAAAAAATATCATATTTGTAAATATCTCTATAATCATAGAGACTTTCTAAAATTTGATAATGATTTTGCTTTAATATTTCCTTTGCTTTAATATTTAGGGTGTCTTGTTGTTGTTACAATTGTTTCAATTAAAAAACTTCTTGTGCTTTGTGAATCAACAACCATTGGAAAACATTATTTTTGTTTCATGATTTTGTTAGTGCACTTTACCCTAATGAGAAAAGAGTTTTCAAATTAGTTTTTCATATATATGCGTGCTGTGTTGTTTAAAAGAGAAAAATAGTTCGAGAAATATTATTAATCATGCAGAAAGGTTTAATCCTCATGAATTCAATATAATAATTATTTATAATTATAAAATATGGTTAAAGAATGAAAAAACTTCAAAATTTAAAGCCCATCATCATATGATCCATATTCTAAAACAAATATATAAACGCCTTAGAAATCAACTGCTATTGTTGCAAAGAGATTCAAAGATACATGACTTATTTAGTGTGTTTACTATTGACATATTCAATGAGGAATGTGTCAATGTCAAGTGGTAATAATTAGGCTCAAGGATATTGTGATAAACATGAGGTGAAGTGTATGAAGGTGATTTGGGCTTAGAACTTCGATAAAGATGAGTGATAAGTTGAAATGGGAGATGACGGATTACTAAGGAATCTTTTTGAACAAGCTATGAACCAGAGACATGATTCAGATGTTACGAGGGAGATGAAGATGAGATAGGCTTAGGGTTTCAATGTCACTAAAACATTGATATAGATGATCAACTTAATGGTCACAATTCTTGAGAAAATAAAAGGATTTTTTTTTTCATTTAAATATGTAAGAAAAATTTTTATAGTAAGTTTTAAATTTTATAACTTTTAAGAGATAAAAGATTAGTGCCTTCCCTAGCTGTTCTAGGGCAATTTTGCCCCATCTCACTCTACGACGAGCCTCTCACCAACTATAAAAATTCCTTTTACAACATTGTTTTGGACACTTAAGTCTTGGCATCTTATGCACCTTTCCAAACTACCATACAATTACATTAGTGAAAATTCTGATCTCAAACACCATAGTTAGCAAGAATAGGTACTTTTTTTTTTTCCTTCTTAGGCATTGAAATTATCATCCTTCTCCCTTTGGAGCATACATGCTTTAGTATGTCTAAAGCTTTTTTGTCCATGATATGCAAACCTTTGAGGTCACTTTTTAACCATCATTACATTTAAAGAGAAGGTTTTTCTATAATACTGCCTTGAGTTAAACTTAGTCTATGATTTACAGAACAATTACACTGAATACCTATTTGTAAGCTTATTTCCACTTTTGTATCTATTTGCCCATGAACATGCATCAAGATTTTCAATAATGTGTCCATAAGTTATCATCATCTTCATTATTTTTCTCCAGCAATAAGAGATGGGCTTTATGAACTTATTTTCCATCGATTGTTGTAGAACGAAAAGCTTACTCTAAGTAGATCTTCATAACATAAAATCAAATAATTTCCGTGTTCCAAAATTTTTTCATCTAATGTATTAAGCTTTATTCTTCTATAATTTTTGTAATTCATAATATATTGTATCATTAGCTTTACCTGTTTTTTTTTGGGTCCATCTTTAAGAAGTATTGCCAAATTTATGTGTGTAAACTAAGCTCAATACTTTAAGTGATTAGTAGTTTACCATAACTTATGCGGTTATACTAAGAACAAATGGAAAACAAGGGTTCATAAAATTCTGAAAACCAATATGAGTTAAGGTTCATGATGATGTTCATCATCTATTTATCTATTCTGTTGGTTTTGTGCACCATAACAATATCTCAAGTGTCAACAAGATATGCAATCCACATGCATTGATTTTTTTTTCTTTACTAATGGTGAGTACCAAGGCACAAATTTTAAGTTAGAATTTGAAACCCAAGGCTTTGACACAAAATTCAAGATATTTATAAAGCCTAGCTACGTCCACAACAATAGTAGGTGCCAACTAGCTTAGTTGATAAGAATCTTAAAAAATTGTTGCCACTATTCGAAGATGGAATCCCCCTATATTAAATTTATCCTTTTGCACTCCACTTTAAAAAATAAAAGAAAAATGTTTGTTATTTTTGCTATTTATTTATTTATTTATTTTGATTTGCTTAAGCTTTGATTTGAAATAAAATATATTAGTGGTTGTAGTTGTTTATAAAAACACTCAAAGTATTTAAAAATTATTTTGAGTTTTTTTAAAAATAAGTTGATTTATTTTTAATAATAAAAAAGGACCATTTACATTCATACCGCCTAATTCATATGTATTTACCTTTCTAAAATCTAAATTTTGCGTTTTACATTTATACCACCCAAACTTCCATTTTGCATAAAATATACAACCATCTTAACTTTTAAAAAATGAAATAAACTTCTTTGTAAGATGGTATGTATGTAAAAATTGAAGTTTAGGTGTTAGACATATAAATACATAGGAATTAAGTGGAATGTATGTAAAGCTTCCAAAATAATAGCATATAAAAAGCACTAAGCAAATATGTTTCTTAAAAACAAAAGCAAAAATAGGAGTAAATATACAAAATAGTAGGGGCAATCACAAACATAGCACTCCTAACGTTACTATTAACGAAACTAGCTCTTTCTTACATTTATTTTTCATATTCTTACTCAAGTATCAAAATTCACAATAAAATTTCAACCCATATTTTACATTTTTACCAAGTTCTCAATGGTTTGGTTGTGGCATGCATAAATGCATTAGTCTAGTCATTAAAAAAAACTCACCTGAGTACTAGTTTTAGGAATAGCAATGTTTCGAGTGCTAACCCAGAATAAAAATGATCTCAAACAAGCCCCAAGACTTTCTCCATACTTCATAATTCTATCTATGATCTTCATGAAGGTGTAAAACACAAATCATACTTCAAATATGCATAACTATGGTCCTTTCTCCTTCTCCAGATGGCAGAACATGTTCAGGGTTCCTCCATCTTTTCTCCGCCCCAGGTGACGTTCACCTTTCAACTTGGTTCAGAAGCTTTCTCAGTTGATTCAAAACTCGGAAATCTCTCCCAGCAGCTGGCAGCAGTGAAGGAAGAGAGCATGAACATTTTGAAGGACTACATCACTAAACACAATGTTCCAACTGAAGTTCCTGATGAACCATTGGAGCCATCTTCTGAAGAAGAAGAAGATGATAAACAAAATAATCCGCCGAAGAAATCAAAGAAACAGAAATGATTTCTTCTGAAATTTATGTTGAGAAGTTTCCCTGCCTTTGTTGGTTGTCTTCTTTCTTGTTGGGTTTTCTCTAGAGCTTTGAATGAGCAGCATGACCTGTAGAGTAACTTAGAAAATGGTGCAGTTGCAGATATTTGTAGACTTGATTGTATTTATCTGAATTGTTTTGATAAACTATGCTGTGCTTTTTTCCCCTCTATCATTCAATTAGTTTCTGTTTTTTTTTTTTTTTTTTTTTTTTCATTCATTAGTTTTGTTACTTGCTTTATTCTTGTTGATTTAGTTATATTTATCTAATTTTTTTCCTTCTGATAAAATATGGTGAGAAATTTGCCTGTCAGTGTTGGCTGTCTTCTTCCTCGTTTGTTTTATCTTCTCTGGAGCTTTGAATAAGCAGCATAGCCTGTCGAGTGACTTGGAACATTATTGCAGTTGCAGTTATTTGTAGACTTGTTTTTATTTCAAATATTTTGGTAAAATATATAGTACTTTTTTGGCCTCTATCATTCATTAGTATTGTTATTTGCTTTATTCTTCAAGAAAGTTTTGTATTGCCTCAAATAAGCTTCAAGACAATGGTTTGCCACTCTCACCGAACACCTCACCAGTCTGGGATTTAAACCAAGCTCTGCCAACCCATTCCTTTTCTGTTTTTTTCGGCAACACCACCCAAGTATGCATCCTTATATAGTCGATGATATCCTCTTCACTCGAAACGACTCTACATTCCTCACCTTTATCATCAACCAACTGCAAAACAGATTTGACCTGAATAATCTGGGCAACATTTCTCATTTCCTGGGTATTACCGCTAGACAAAACAGCTACACTCTCCATCTAATCCAGCTACCCTATGCTGAAGACATCCTCACACTCAATCAGGCATGGCCACCTTTGCAAACCTGTCTCCAACCCGCAATTATGCAACCGATTAGTTGGCTCGTTGCAGTATCTAACACCGAAACGACCCGATATTCAATTTGTTGCAAACAAAGCTAGCCAAGCCATGCATCATCCCTCTCAGCAAGACTCTCAGTTAGTCAAGAGACTTCTCAGGCATATTCAAGGCACAAAGCAGTTAGGTCTACCTATCTTCAGAAACAGCCTCCAACTCCATGCTTATGCTGATTAAAATTGGACTGGAGATCAATCAGACTGGAAATCAACCTCCAGGCACTGTATCTTTCTAAACAAAGCTCTCATTTCCTGATCAGTCAAAATATTAATGGTGTAAATAAGTCGAGCTGAGTCGAGCTCGAGCCACGCTTGGCTTGAACTTGAGTCTGATTAATTTTATCGAATTCGAACTCGAGCTTGAGCTCCAGCCTACGAGTTCGAGATGGCTTGTTTTTTACTCATGTTGCCTCCATCATGTCATGATTTATTATTGAGCTATTGTATGATAAGCATTTCACCTTATCTAGACGCGCTTTGTTGACCTACATTGCACAAATATATGCACCGTAATCATTAACACATCAAAACCTATCTCTCAATCTTTGTCATAATAAGATTCTCCCCATGATTAATCACATCAAGAATTGCATCATAATTAGACATACTTATCAGTCATTATCATTTTAAGTCCCCTGCATAGTTTCTTGCCTGCGGCATGGTCTCCTACTCGCGCTCACACATTCACGAAGGGTACTTACGAGTCGAGAGCACATTTCTTTCTGTCACTACATTCATTGTTGTTAAGAAATGATTCAAAGTATATGGAAGCATATGTTTCTTTCTCCTGGAAATGGATCATTAAGGTTAATAAATTGTCACTAATTCATGTTATATGTCTCTATAGAGTTGCTCATTATGTTCGATTGGTGAGTTGGGATGAGCCACCCATCCTTCTACAAAATGAATTCATAAAGTTATTATGGTTTGATTTTATTTGGAAGGTCAAATATGTTACCTTCACTTAAATGAAAGTCATTGAGTGTTTATGTTATATTTATGCTAAGCCTCACAATATTATTGATTATAAAAAGATATTTTATCATATTATGGTTGTATGATATACCGTCCTGATGCACCACGTGTACAATTCGGCCCCATTCTGTATTGAATTTTTTAGTTTATCTTACTAAGGGGGCCAAAATTGTATACCTGACAGACGTGATTGAAGTCCTTGCATCAATACTCCTGAAGTAATATTTTCTCCATCAAATGACAGCAACATGTAAAAGTTATAATTTTTTTTTTTTTCATGTAACTACAATCACTAATGTAATACTAATTTAAGCAACATGTAAAAGTTATAATTTTTTTTTTTTTTTCCATGTAACTACAATCACTAATGTAATACTAATTTAAATATAAGGCTTGTTTGAAAAGCATTATATAGTTTTTAAGAGAAGCTTACGTATTTAAACCTACAAATCTGAAATATTTAGATCTCTAACACCTAAAATTTGATATTTACATTTATTGTACTTTGGTTTTAATAACATTTGCATAAAAAAAATCCAAGTTTAGAATTATTTCATATGTTATTTTAAAAATATTAATCAAACAATTTATGGGGCATTTACATACATTGCACATATTTCTTATTTATTTATATATTTGACACTTAAATTTTCATATTTACACTTATAACACTCAAATCTTTATCATCACATAAAAAAAATAGCTCTATTATCACTTTTTCAAAGTGAAGTACATGTTCTCATGCATAGGTTTAAAACAATAAAGTGCTATGTATGTAAATATGAAATCTTAGGTGTTAGATAAGTAAATACATAAGAAAAAATTGCCCTAATTAAAATTCAGAGGTTAGACTTGTAAATGCATAAGAATTAAGTGGTATTCGTGTAAATCTGTTATAAATACGTAGCGTAGCCAATGAAATCACCCACGACACCCCGCGCGACAGAGAAAAAAAACGGCGCAGTAACACTGGAAATATTCCCCCCCCCCTCTTATTGTGTGTTATTCATGTGTTATTGTGTCCTGAGAATATTCCTGATGTTATAATAACACAATAACACATCAATAACACATCAATAACACACAATAACACATGAATAACACGGTGGAGAATATTTCCCCGTGTTACTGCGCCACTTTTTTCTTTATCGAGAATATTCTTCGTGTTATTCAAGTGTTATTATGTGTTATTCATGTGTTATTGTGTCCTGAGAATATTCTTGGTGTTATAATAACATAATAACACATCAATAATATATGAATAATACGTCATAACACATAAATAACACGCAATAACACATGAATAACACGGTATACAATGGCATTTCATTGGTTATTTCGAAGTATGTAATATTTTTTCGTTGATAGGAGCTCACAACTTTCCCTTCTCTCCCCTCTGCAAGCTTCAACTTTTAACCCCCAATCCGAACTTGAAGCCGTCAAGGAGCTCAAAAACCTGATCTTGTAGCAGAAGGCCGACGGAATTTTTCAAACTCCGCTCAGGTTACGTTGGGGAGGATGATCGTATGCGTCGCCGTCGTCGGACGTCAGGTTTCCGACTGACATCTCTTTCTGTCTTCTTCATCCCTGCTGTGGTATTCTTATTAAATCTCAGTTCTGTTTATTCATCTCCATGAGCAGAACAACCCGCTGTACTTACAGAGCTTCACCGAAGCAGATGACGCCTTGAAGCTTCATCACATCGTGCATTGTTCATTGGACGTGATCGAAGAGAGGGGTGAGTTTCTCATCATTCCTTCGATTGACTGGTTTAATTCTTCGAATATGAAAATAATTTTCTTTGTTTTGGTAATATGAGTATGTCTAAATATTAGCTATGCTTGACAGGTTGATAGCCCTAGGAAAAGTGTGAATTTGTAATTGCAAATTGAACATTCTTATTCAGTCTTAATTACTGTATTTTTGTTAAATTGGATGAATCTAAGTTTCTCTGGAAGTTGCATTAGCTTAACTGAGGTATTATCTATTGATTTCTTAACACAGATGAAATCAGTTCTCTCTTTTCTATGATTCTATTGTGATTATTCTATGCGTTTCCAGGCCTAGTGCCTATTATTTTTGTCAAGGAAAAAGTATAAATGCTCATAAATATGCTCTTGGGTTCTTGGTTGTTTCATGCCAAGCCCAACCCTAATGAATTTCTATTGACATTCCCACTTCTTCTCCATTTCCACCAAGGTTTCTACAACATCCCTAACACTTTTTAAACTCTTAAAAACTTAATTTTTACCATGATTACAAAGCGAACAAGAGACCACATCAGAAGTAGCATATGTAAAAAATTGGCAGTGTGGTAGGATGAATTGGTTGGTTGAGGCCAACTGCTTTTGAAGATTTTTGTGTAAAATGAGTGCAGCTAAAAGAAACACAGATTTCTGTGGCATTGCAAACATAGCCTACTGAAAAAATTTCTTAAAATAACATTTTGCTTTTTTCTTTTCCTAATAAATATAAGCTTTAATGCCTCATTTCCAGATTGTGTTGTTTATTTACTTAAATATAAGTTTTTGTTTAACTAGAAAGTTTAAACTTCAACATTCAGTGGTCAATATTTGGCGATGACCTTGACCAAATCATAATTTGCTTAGGATCTAACATGGCTTTTCGTGAGTGCCAGAATAGTGATTTTATTTACACTAATTTTTTCTTTAATTGCTTGAAAAATATGCATAATTTCTTTCCAATTATGTGGGAGCATCTATACTATGCAATTTTATCATACTAAAAAATTGTTTCTTTTATTGTGACAGTAAACAATCCTAAGAAGAGTGGGCCTACTTTGAATGAGACATTTCTTGGACTTTTATATCCTACAGAAAACTATAAAGTGTAAGCTGTGGAAATTATTTAAAACCATGTTCTTATAAATTTACAATGTCTCGTCAAAATTATTCTCTGGCATGCTGTATTGTGAATCTGAATTGTTCTTTCCAGATATGGATATTTAACCAACTCGAAGGTTAAATTCATCTTGGTGACAACTGATTTGGATGTTAGGGATGTCGATGTCAGAAGCGTAAGTTTCTTTTTTATTTTGTTATCCAATTTTATTATTTATTCAACAATAGTAGGCTCATTGTTGATTTATTCAACAATCGTACATTACCTGCACTACTAAACACGTTTGGATAGCTAGGCTCATTGTTGATTTATTCAACAATTGTACATTACCTGCACTACTAAACACGTTTGGATAGCTCATTATATACAAGCGTGGAATGCATGCGTTCGGTCATCTAATTAAGTTTTGCAATCCCTGATCTAATATCTTCTCTTTTTCTCCACCTATATCTTCCATGATATTGTGGTATTTCCTTTCTCATCTACATGCCAGACCTTTCTCTATTGTTGATATTTGTCTCAAGTTCAATTTTGTCATTTATCTCTTATGGTTGAATGCCTTCCATTTTTATTTTTTATTTTTTTCTTTGGGGGGGGGGGGGGGGGGTTTTCTGATAAAATTTCTTTTGAGACTATAAATGTGGTATGAGATTTTCTTTTTTCTTGAAGAATTTGTGCATTCCGGGTTATGGGTAAGTGTGATGAGTTTCTTCTCTATGTATCTTTTATCGTTGATCGTAATGTCTAGCAACAACGAATGAAATTTCCTGATTGCTTAATTTTTATTTGGCCTTCATCCATCTCTTTAACATATGCAATATCAAGTGATTGAATACTCTTATTTCTCAATTATATACTTTTTATCTCTCAAACTCTTAAAGTCACCTATCTATCTCTTCTTTTTCCCCCAACTTCTAATCATATTGCCCTAGCTGTGGGACATCATGGTAGTCATTGCAGTCATTGCCTTGGAGGTCTTCTTGATAGTAGACAGGATTGTTGGGGAAAGTTCTTGCTTTCTTGCTCTCACTGTGTTCTCATAATTCATCCTTCAAAATGATGTTGGGCCAAATTGACTTGTGCCCTTAATTTCCAAGATTCATTTGGAACATTTATTCATGATAATGGTTCCTATTATCACTGAATCTTTAGGTTTTGTCCAGCTTGCTCGGAGAAATTATGATCTTATGATTCAAAATTTTCAAAATTTTGCATATATTTTCTTCTCTTTTAGTTCTAATATGATTATTGCCTCAAGTATTTTTTTCATTTTAGATTTTAGTGTCTCTTCTTATTTGGCAGGTAACTAAAAAATTATTCCTCTATTCATATGACCTCAATTTCTCTCAAGATTGTAGTTGATGGTCCCCCCTCCATCTCTGTGAAATACACTAAATCATTTGAAAATTTTTTCTTTGATGTTTTATGTTCCAGGATAAACTCTTCATTTTCTAAACTTATTATTTTATTCACTATTTTACCAAATCACATAGTTGCTCTAACCACTTTCTATCCCCTATACTGTTTCCTTTAAAATCTCAATGCGAAGAAGGTGATTGGTGGTATTGAACTTGTTGAGTCTGCTACCTTTACCAAATCACATAGTTACTCTAACCACTTTCTATCCCTTATACTGTTTCCTTTAAAATCTCAATGCGAAGGTGATTGGTGGTATTGAACTTGTTGAGTCTGCTATCTAATGATTGATATTCCTTCATACCTTTTATGATAGGAGCATTCAAAATTAAAGATCCAATCTTCATTAGAAGAAACACAACAGTCTATAGCTATCAGTATTAACTTCTCATCTTTCTGCTTTGAAAATGATAATGTGTTAGGACTATACTTTTCTTTGCTATCACATATTCACTCTTCTCCTACTTAGTAATAACTTAACAATCATATATCTAGTCAGCAAACTTCTTGCAGTACTAGCACTACTCTTTTTGTTGAACTTTGATTTTGATATTTCTAATTTTTTTTCAGGCGGTTAGCACAAAGATCTTATGCATTTACATGTCACACCTAAACTTTCATATTTACACACATAGCACTCAAATCTTTAATATCACGTCAAAAATAACATTATTATCACTTTTTAGAAGTGAAACATGCCTTTTCATGAATAGGTTTAAAGCAACAAAGTGCTACGTTTGTAAATATGAATTTTTAGATGTGAGATGTAAATACATAAGAATTGTGTGCTATATATGTAATTTTTTCCTTTATATTCTATCCCTTTTCATGAATAGGTTTAAAGCAACAAAGTGCTAAGTATGTAAATATGAATTTTTAGATGTGAGATGTAAATATATAAGAATTGTTTGCTATATATGTAATTTTTTCCTTTATATTCTATCTTGCATGCTTCCACCGCCATCTTCTTAGCGCATTAAATAGAGGAGTTATCTCTCTCTTCCTATTTTATGAGATGCGTGGATGGAGGTGAATCGGGTGATAATAATTTGCTTTTATGAGAGTCGTCGAGAACAAGATCGAATAATTATCTCTCTTCATTATTCCCTTAAAATTTTGTTAAATCCAATAGAAGTTTATTCTGTGGATCCAAAATACTCTTGTAGCGATTTATCATGTTTTATGCATAATAAATATAAATTATTCAAATAGAGATAATTGTTGAGTGATTTCATCTTGTAAAGAAATTTTAACCTTGCCTTATACAATATTGCTATAACAATGAATTGCTAGCTCAAAAAGATACTTGTCTTCTAAGTTGAGGATAATATAACTGAGAGTTATTTTGATACATCTCCATTCTCTCCTTTGTATTGGATTATGGAATCATTTCTCTTTAAAGACCTCAATCAAGTAGATATCTCCTAGGTACCCAATCTTTGATACCAACAGAGGGCTCAAATTAGTTTACTTTAGAGTAAGGATGTGCATTTGGTCAATTTGGATGGATTGGATGACAAATTTGTGAAGCCAATTGATTTTGGATGCCTAAAAATTTAGACCGAATCGATCAAACAAAATATAGAACCAACCAACCTGACAACAAATTGGTTCGGTTATTCTGGTTTGGTTTTGGCTAAATTGAAATGTATTCTATTTAAAAATTGTTTTTGCAATTTATATATATTCCTCAATCAAGTAGATATCTCCTAGGTACCCAATCCTTGATACCAACAGAGGGCTCAAATTAGTTTATTTTAGAGTAAGGATGTGCATTTGGTCAATTTGGATGGATTGAATGACAAATTCGCGAAGCCAATTGATTTTGGATGCCTAAAACTTTAGACCGAATTGATCAAACAAAATATAGAACCAACCAACCCAACAACAAATTGGTTCGGTTATTCTGGTTTGTTTTTGGCTAAACTGAAATGTACTCTATTTAAAAATTGTTTTTGCAATTTATATATATTATGTAGCATTTTATTATATAATTGATAAGCAATTAGCATAATTAAAACTAAATATTAGAAAAGCAATTGGTTACTTTCATAGAAGTTCAAATAGAGAAGACAAACACACCAAAAATTGTGAATTGTAAAATGAGTTTTAATTTATTACTATTTGATGCATTTATTTATCTTTTTGTTTTATCTAAAGTTCTGATTCTCAAACTGGTAAAAAATTTGGAAATCAAAATAAATATTTGAACCGCTAATTTTAAAACCGAACCAAAATTTGATTAAATTTTACTAACCAAAAAAAATTTGATTAAATTTGATTTTCCAGTTATAATTAGAGAAGACAAACATAACAAAAATTGTGAGTTGTAAAATGAGTTTTAATTTATTACTATTTGATCGATTTATTTATCTTTTTGTTTTATCTAAAATTCTGATTCTCAAACTGGTCAAAAATTTGGAAATCAAAATAAATATTCGAACCGCTAATTTTAAAACCGAACCAAAATGTGTTTAAATTTTACTAACCAAAAAAATTTGATTAAATTTGATTTTCCAGTTATAACTAAATAGTGCACACCTTTGTTTGAGAGCGCCAAAGTGAGCAATATGGTTAATATAGGACAAATAAAATTACTAATACATACAAATATGATAGGAAATGATAAAACATCTGCGAATAAACAAGTTAATTGAATTTAAATGGTCTGGTACACAAGTATCGACTATCAAGTATAGAATAATGTAAAATAAAATAGTATCAAAGCTTATATCAAATAGTTTTTATTGAAAACATTGAGGATGATAGTTGAGGAGATCTCTCTAAGCTTTGAACAATCTTCCTAACAAAAAAACAAATCCTTATTTCTAAAAATTACTTTTTATCAAATTTCTAATGGTCTGATTGTGGCAAAGGTAAATACACTGGTTCAATAGTTAAAGAGAATGTTCTGGGTGCTGGTTTTGTAAGTAGCGAAGTTTATGGCGCCATGCATGTAATTATCCTCTTTTTGGGGCAATTACATGGCACTCGAAAGATTACTAGAAAAGATAAAAGACTCCTCTCACATCAAAGGCTTCATGAACATAAGAAGCCCTCTACTATTGAGAAAACTCTTGGCTTGAAGGAGAAAGCTGCATCGTGCTTCTTCCTCTCTTCTTCACACATCAATAGCATCCATGGAAATAAGTTAGAATTTGTGCTTGCTCTCTTCATATCACATGTTCAATCATGTCGTTTCTCACTCATCCAAGCTTTAGGAAATACTTGTATTTTAGTTTTTAATTCAAGAGGTGTTTCAATGCATACCACCTTATTCCCATTTAAGATATCTTACACATCAAAAATACTGTCATTTGATGTCGCAATGCTATGAAACATATGTTAGCCATGCAATTATACATGTCGCTGAAGTCATATATATATGAAATTTTGAGTCCGGATATCGATGACACGGGGAACTTGATAATTCTCAAAGAAGTAAAAAGTTTTAGTTTACTAGTTTTAATTCTTGCCTGAAAAATCAAATTCTTTAAAATTTTAAAGTGTCCTAAGCCTAATTTTGCAGAAATAAAAACCTGAATTTATAACAGTGTGTTTCCTATTGTGGGAACTATGCTCCTTTGATTTTGATTTAGTGAATCCTCAATATCCTTCTAATAAATTTCCAAACTAATGTTAACAACTAGGGACAAATCCTCAGCCTTCTCCAAGATCATAAGAAGCTTTGGAAACTCATATTACAATTAAGTTGGCTTAACCATACAAACTTTCCCAGAAATCCTCTACTCTCCTATTTAAGTTGCAATCTCCTACTAATAATATTCCTATTTCTCTAACTAATTATGTGTTATTATTTTTTTTTATCTAAAAAAATACATTTGATTATTATTATCGATAATTTATGTAATACAATGTCATATTTTCAACTTCAATATTCTATATTAATTAAAAGTATTTTAAACTGCTTCTATAGTCCTAATTCCTGCAGTGGTTATTCAAGCATACACATTCGTTGGTGATGGTTGCAATTTTCTACTAATAATATTCCTATTTCTCTAAGTAATTATGTGTTTTTTTTTTTATCTAAAAAAATACATTTGATTATTATCGATAATTTATGTGATACAATGTCATATTTTCAACATCAATATTCTATATTAATTAAAAGTATTTAAACTGCTTCTATAGGCCTAATTCCCGCAGTGGTTATTCAAGCATACACATTCGTTGGTGATTTGGAAAGCTAACAGTTCAAAATTCTGAACTTTATAAATCAATGCTTCCGCTCGTATTTACAAAAACCTCGATATGGTTGCAAGTTGTAATTATGTGTTATCCTATTTGTTCTTCTAACATATGGCCAGTAGTCCTAGATTACATGCTATTTTAACATTTTAATTGACCAAAATGAAAATAAAAGAAGATCAAAAGGATAACACATTAACATGCAATTAAATCTAGGGAAATCTCAAACAAATCTCATAGAAGAACATGATTCATCACTATAAAGTTTAGTTCCTAATCATTTTGAGATAAAATCAAATAGATTTCATTGAAAAACCGAAGTACAAAGAATTTACACAGGAACAATCCAACAAGAAAGATTAATTGTTTTGCTCCACTGAGTTTCTCCCTTGTACAATGATCTCCCTTGAATAGCACTCTCACGCAATCTTTAAATTGATGAAATCTCATCTTAAAGCTCTCCCTAACACACTCTCTCGACTTCGTAAAAATTTCTCTTCCACACTCTCACTATGCTTCAGAGACTAATTACTTTGGGGGCACTCATTCCCACGAATCAACCCGAATCAAATTATTTTAACGCGTTCGTGAAGCCACATAGACTTCCCTTGAATAGCACTCTCACGCAAACTTTAAATTGAATCTCATCTTAAAACTCTCCCTAACACACTCTCTCAACTTCGTAAAAATTTCTCTTCCACACTCTCACTATGCTTCAGAGACTAATTACTTTGGGGGCACTCATTCCCACGAATCAACCCGAATCAAATTATTTTAACGCGTTCGTGACGTAGACAAGAAATCGCTTTAGCTCTCATTTGTCTATTAGGAGTGTCAAACTTCCTCTTTGGAGCGTCGAGTTTCCGGTTACTTGGGCTGGGTTGTGTAAGTAAATGTACGTCAGGCGCTGAGTCGGTCATACTCTAGCGAGCACCGGTTTTTGCTTCGGCTGTCGGGTCACTCTTCCCTTAGAGGTCCTAGGACATCTGGGGTGAAGTGATGGGTTTCTCAGCTCTCTGTTTCACTTGATCGAAGGGAGCATGGCAAGCACCAGTGCTCCCCCATCTAGCTTACAACTTGCAAAAACAGACAAGAATACCCAGGAAAAAGCATAAAAATGATACAAAGTGGAATAAACATAAAAAATAACATCACATGTTTCGTACACTTCACCATTTTAACTTTTGAAAAGTGAAATACACATTTTCATGCATAGGTAAAAATTGAAATTTAGCAGTTAGATATGTAAATGCGTAAGAATTGAGTGGTATGTATGTAGATCTTCTTTAATTGTAATGATGAGTAGCCACAGGCCTTGCTACATTGTGTTTGTAAGTATAATTTGGATGTTTCTCCATCATATTGGAGTCTAATATACCCTGTCTTTTTTTTCATTTTTCATTTTTCATTTTTTTTTTTAACTTTCATCTATTTTTGGTTTTCTGCAGCATCTGAGTCTAATTTAACTTAAGGATGCTCTCTAAACTCAGCTGACTTATATGGCTGTGCAAATAGGCCTATTGAAATGGCCATGTTTGTAAATTACCGGTCGACTTGTTGGCTAATAAAAACCATGGTATTTGTTGCGAAGGTTCTGGATCGAATTCCTCTCTTTCGAACTTATGCTTCGGCACTCATAGTTTACAAAAGCACAAAATTTTGATGCCTTTGAGATTCGATCCTCGGAACTCCATAACAATTACCCAAGCCTTATGTCACGGACAAATAGTCCCACGTCGGCTAGGTGTAGGACCGAAAAACAGTATTTAAGTCCTGGGCTGCCCACCACCCATAAGAGCTCTTTTGGGAGGTGATAAGTGGTATTAGAGCAGACTACTGTCTGCCAGGTGTGTGGACTCTCTATGGTCCAGTGGGACCCTCGGCGGAGCCGATCCGAGACGAGGGCGTCACGTGATT